GGGGAGGTGTAGTTGGGGTGGCATGATGAGAGGATTGAAAAGAGCGGCTTCGGGGAGAAAATTGGATTGTTGGTTGGATTGATGGATTGATGGTTGGAATGGATTGATGGTTGGATTGATTGATGGATTTGTTGATTGAAGGAGAGACAGCAGAGAGAGAGAGAGAGAGGAGACGGGTACAGAGGGAAGAAAGAATTGCGTGGTTAGAGATAGACACAGAGAGAGAGAGAGAGAGAGAGAGAGAGAGAGAGAGAATTGGAGAGAGCTGGGGGAGATGAGAGATTGAATAAAGGGCCACTAATCAGCAACCAGCTTGGTCCTCGTTCTTCTTTTGTCCATCCAAGGCAACAGCATCCCTGGTGGAGAAGCACTTGAGAGCACCCGTGAGAGGGAGAGCCCGAGAACATTCTTTCAAATGTAATCCCCACGCACAAGAGGGGTTTACACAGCCCCATGGTTGGGGAATTTCACACCTCCTCGCAAGCATATGGAAATTTTCACAGAGATTCAGAAACTTGGGCTTCATCTTAGACTTACCATCAGACCACAGCCACTCATCTTCTCACTGAAGTTCTCCAACTAATGAGGCTAGACCACACCAACAAACTTCTACCTGAAATAGCTGACTCTAGGATCCTCTCTTAAATCCCTCCCACAGAAAACAGTTACACAAATTTCCTTCAACTCAACTCCCTTTAAGAATTCTATTAAGGAATAAATTCACATCTTAGGAAAAGAGGCTCTCAGCTATCTCCCCAAACATTCCCCCCAGGCTTATGTATACAATAGGATTTCAGATTCAGTTTGACACTAAAGGAAAAGTATCTTACCAGAGAACCTGTTTTAGCAGACAAAAGTGGGCTATATAACCTCAGGCAAAATATTCTCTAGAGCTTTGGATTCCAATATTGAAAAAGAAAGAAGCTAGAGTGACCCCGAGTCTTTGAGGCTATTTTTTTTTACTATAGCCTACAGTAAAACTATGTATACACACTATTCACACACGTATATAACTATATGCATGGTTTCAACTGGAACAAAGGTTACATAAAATAATACAAAATGTAATATGTTGTCATTCCTTCTCATCCACTGTATTCTCTAAAGTGCTGGTTGCCAATTATCAAGTTACTTTTATAATCTACTAAAGGGTCAGAACCTGAAGACTGGAAATAATTATAGTCCCTTTAACCCTGATCATCGACTCTCAGTTCCTCTTGAACACATCCTCTACTTCCCTGCTCTGAACTTCATCTAAAAGCAAATATCTTTTCTGTAACATCTTCCCCTATTTCAACCTCTTCAAATGCAGCATATGGTTTAAGACATAGCTTAACAAAAATCTCTTAGAAGGAGAAGAGAGCTCTTAGTTCTATGCACATTTATAATGCATTTTCTCATTTCTTATTTGTCATTACTTACAAATGTCTTCTATTCACATTTTTTTAATCTCATTATTGGTTGTAAGTGCCTTGGAGGACAAGAATTGTGTCTTCTATGCCTTTCTGTTCTTCTGAATGTTTAGTATAATGCCTGGTATGTGTTAGATACTCAAGCCAGAAAATCTTCTTCATAGTTACTCTTTCTTCATCCATTCTTCTATTTAATCAGTGTATCTAGTTATTTGATTCTTCTGCTCTCTTCCTTCCTATCAGTACCTGCTATCATTTCTTCCTCCCCTTAGATTACATCTATTAGAAACCACTGACCTTTGTTTTAACCTCTTGACACTCTGCTAAACTCTTTCCCAACTGTGATTTCTTCTTTTGTTTTTGGCAAACCTTAACTCTGAATTGTCTATTTACCTTCTCAGAGAAGGTAGACACTGTCATTAAAACAAAAAACAGACAAACAAAAAAACCAAATTCTACGACCTTGCAGATAATTTAAAGGCTTTCATCCTCACTAGGATTCTTAGTACATGGCTGAATATTTCTCCTTGGTTTCCCTAGTTAGTTCCCTATCCCACTCTCATATAGCCATTTTTAATGTGTCCCACTCTCATATAGCCATTTTTAATGTTTTTTCACTCTCGTTATCACTCTGCCCTACAACCTTACTCTTTGACTCCAAAAATGGATTAGTCTTTGATCGATAGCACAGCGGTAGGGCGTTTGCCTTGTGCGCAGCCAGCCCAGCCGAGCTGGGTTCGATTCCTTCTGCCCCTCTCAGAGAGCCCGGCAAGCTACCAAGAGTATCTCACCTGCATGGCAAAGCCTGGCAAGCTACCTGTGGTGTATTCAATATGCCAAACACAGTAACAACAAGTCTCAAGATGGAGACATTACTAGGCCCGCTAGAGCAAATCGATGAACAACAGGAGGACAGTGACAGTGATATGAATTCTCACCTACTTCTAACTAATATATCAGTAAAGGTAAAGGTAAAGGCCCTCCCGTTGTTCGTCGATTTGCTCGAGTGGGCCCAGTAACGTCTCCATTGGAGACTTTGTTGTTACTGTGTCTGGCATATTGAATACATCACGGGGAGCTTGCTAGGCTCTGCCATGCGGGCGAGATACTCTCGGTAGCTTGTCGGGCTCTCCAAGAGGGGCGGAGGAATCAAACTCGGGTCCGCCATGTTGGCTGCGAGCAAGGCAAACGCCCTACCGCTGTGCTATCGCTCCAGCCGGATATACCAGTAGCCTGCATTATATGCCTATCCAAGTTCATATATCTTACTGCATTTTAAGCTCATTAAAAATAAGAAACACAACTTATTCATTATTGAAATCTCAGAACTTACTAATATTACTAAGTTCTATTAAGTACTAATAAGTACTAATAATACTAATATTACTAAGTTCTTGGTAACTATTTCTCAAGTGAAAACATAAAGGAATGCAAACTGTGTATGTATCTCATATAGTTATGCTAAGGGCTAATCAATTAGAGCCAATAAAATATTAGGAAGTGAAAAGTTTGAGCTGCAAATGGTTTCAAAAATTTATAACATGGAGCTCCCGGAGGAGAGCAACATAGAAGGACATGTCACAGAGATGCCTCCAGACCCCGTGCCCTAGCAGCTGAAAACCTGCAGAATCCAATCACCACCATGCTCACAGCTGCTCTACATAGGCTTGGACAAGTCTAATGCATAAGTAAATCTGCTATATAATCATATTCTAAATTTTAGAATTCCTGGAGCGAGGGGCTGGAGTAATAGCACAGCAGGTAGGGCATTTTCCTTGCACGCGGCCGACCCAGGTTTGATTCCCAGCATCCCATATGGTCCCCTGAGCACTGTCAGGGGTCATTCCTGAGCACAGAACCAGGAGTAACCCCTGTGCATTGCTGGGTATGACCCAAAAAGAAAAAAAAAAGAATTCCTGGAACGAGCCTCTCATAGTCTACACCACTGATTGTACCAAGAGTAGCACACAACATTTGATGGGGTTTAACAAACATGTTAGTAACCTCTTATACAAGGGTTTAATGGCTCCAGGATGAAATACAACAATCTTCACACACTTTCCTCTAAGGAAACTTTATTGCACCATTTTTAGTGGATTATTCATAAGAAGCAATACAAAATTAATTGTTTTGGTTCTGTCATAGGGGGCACGGTTTGGGATTTGAGATAATGGTGGGAAGGTGCAATGGAGGTAGGGCTGGTATTTGAATATGAAGTGTAATGAATTACTGTGAATAACTTTATAAAATTAAAATAAAAATTATAACATGTAGAATTACATTTCATTAAAAGTTCATTATTATTTGTATTCCAAGGAAAACAATTTGGCTCCATACATAATGAATCTGATAAAACAGGCAAAAGGGGAATGAAATAAGATCCAACAAAGCTATTTCTTAATTTGCTATCCCTAGTAGGACAAGAACAGTGAGTTCAACACAAATTTTTCCATGGACTACAGCAGCCTGAAATAAACAAGGTATTTCTTTTTTATAAAACCTAGTTTCATTTTTTTTCTTTTCAATGCACTTCTTTTTCCCTTTCAATATACTTCTTTTTTATTGGTTTATATTTTAAAAGATAATTTGCGGGGACTGGAGTGATAGCACAGCAGGTAGGGCATTTGCCTTGCACGCAGCCGACCCGGGTTCTATTCCCAGCATCCCATATGGTCCCCTGAGCACCACCAGGAGTAACCCCTGTGCATTGCCGGGTGTGACCCAAACAGCAAAAAAAAAAAAAAAAAGAAAGAAAGAAAGAAAGAAAGAAAATATACATGAGGATTATGACTGAGTTACACAGCCCAGAAAGCAGCTAATCATGGCTCCATGTCAAGAAAGCATCTTGCTTTGGTGGGGGGGGGCGGGGGATGGTCATGGTGATGAGAGGGACTACACCCAGCCACATACTCAAGGTGCTATCCCCAGCACAGTGTTAGTTGTGGTCACAATTGTGAGCTCACTCCTGGTGGTGCTCAGGGCAGCATGTTGTGCCAGGCATTAAAGCTGGGGCTCCATAAAGCATAAATTCCAGCCCTTTTAGCATCTCCAGGGCCTGCAACTTGCCTTTTTTGTTTGGTTGGTTTTGGGGCTTTGTTTTTTGAGCCACACCTAGGGGTGCTCAGAGAATACTGCTGATTCTACACTCAGGCATCCTTCCTGGTGGGACTCAGGAAACCATATGGGGTGCCAGGAATTGAATCCAGTTTGGACACGTGTAAGGCAAGTGCCTTACCCACTGTACTATTTTTTCTCTGCTCCTGCAACTTGCCTTTTTAACTTTTCTCCAAAATATCAATGATGTTCATTTTCTTAGTTAGTGCCATGGCTATGGCTCTGCAGTGCTGTCTATTTCAAAGTTCTTCTGCTGTGAGAAAACCAGGAAAGAATCCTGCAATATACTGTTGATATACTCAACAACATAGGTGACTCACAAAAATGTTACACTAAAGAGTCAGGAATAAAAGGGTACATACCACCTATGCATAACAGCAATGAAAGGGAAGAGGAGTATCAAGTTTAAAGGGAAGGAAAGAAATTTTTAGTTAAGTATGATTTCATTCTGTTATAGTGCCATGACATACTCACTCTGACATTATGAGGATGAAGTCCTCCTGGGTGTTGAGACATGTACTGGGCCAGGTCTGTGTGCTGGACAAAAGAGGAAGAAAGTGATGTCAATGGTGCTTAAATTGTGTCCTAAAGTAGACCACAGGCTTTGTTCTCAAACTCATTGCAAAGTTAGAATTTTAAAGTAAAGTAAGTAAAGTAAAGGCCCTCCTGTTGATCGTCGATTTGCTCGAGCAGGCCCAGTAACGTCTCCATTGGAGACTTTGTTGTTACTGTGTCTGGCATATAGAATACTCTCGGTAGCTTGCCGGGCTAGGTACAAAACATACACAACCAGATTTTTATGAAGCACCACAGTTGCACAGTTCTGTCTGCTCTTAGGAGGAAGATTGTTTCCTGAAGCAATGAGAAGGCAATTGAAATGAGTACTTCTGAATAAAATGACCCAGAGGCTGTTCACCCACTAGTATTCTAGGATACAGGTCAGGTACACATGACTTAAGGTTTCTTCTTCTTTTATTTTATTCTACTTTAGGTTTCTGGGTAATACCCAGCTGTGCTCAGGACTAACTCCTGGCTCTGTGTTCAGGGTTCATTACTGGATATGTTCAGGGGACTGTATGCACCTAAGGACTGAACCAAAGTCAGCCACATCACGTCAGCAAATACCTTAACCTGTACACTATCTCTCCAGCCTCTTTCTGCTTGTTTTAATGTGTTTCTATAAAAAAAATTCATTATTAACTAGTAAACATAGCTACAAATTTTTAAGAACTTGTGAGTAGCATATTTTGTGTCATGAAAAAATGTTGCTTTCTACTCAGCTGGTTATTAAAAATAGATTAAAATAGGAGCAAACAATTTATTCAGGAGGCAAATTCAAAGTTCTTATTTATTTTTCCTGGTGAGAGAGCAGAAAGGCAGCAAAAACAAGTGGGCTAAGTAGCAAAACTAAGGACTGGGTGTGAGAACAATAGGCTCTACTAATCACAGTAATGACAATTTCCATGACACTTTTCTTGCTGCAATGAAAGTTTTATCATGCCATAAAATATTAACACATTTATTATGCAAGCACCAGACTTTCCCTTCATTCTTTGGAGAACATTAGGGCAACTCACCATGTACTCAAAAACAAATGTCAGCGTCTCTTTGGTGTGGATTATGTCATGCAGGAGCACAATATTGGCATGCTTCATACCCTTCAGGAGGGAAGCTAGAAAAATTAAAGAAAATGTCCATTCAATCATCAATAAGTACTGTCTCATTTTTATTTTGTGGGGCCACACTTAGTGCTCAGGGGACATTGCAGTGGGGTATGGGCCATGTGGATTCAGAGACAGAACTAGGGGTTCCTGCGTGTAAAGCACGGAGAGCATGTTCTCCAGCCCTTTGAGCAATTCCCTGTCCATGTATGGACTCTTTCTCTGTCCCTGTGTCTGTCTCCGTCTCCGTCTCAGTCTCTGTCTTTGTCTCTCTCTCTCTCTCTCTCTCTCTCTCTCTGTCTCTCTCTGTCTCTGTCTCTGTCTCTCTCCCTCTCCCTTTCTCCTTGCCCCCATCAAATCCAGGGCTTCACATATGCAAAGCAACTGCTCTATCACTGAGTTATACCCAATCTGAAAGTATTTGTCTTAAAGATATCAAGCAGACTTTATTTTTTTAAAAACATTTCAAATCAAGTATTATGGTTTATTTTACTAATGGAAAAAGAATTTCTGATTGTGAAATCATAATTACAAGGAACCCTTCATTATTTGTTAAATGGTGAGTCATTATATTAACATAACTTATTTTTCTTACAGGCTAGAGTAGTCAAAAAATATGTTTCCATTTACCCAATCAATTTCATCAAAGCACTCAAAGCACTTTGCAAATGCTTTCCCTTGGGAATCTTATCATCTCTGCTCCGCAGCTAGGAGACAGGAGGCCAGGAGAGACAAAGGCCAATGGAAGAGCAGGAAATGGAGTGTTCTGCCTTCTAGAGCAGGACTCTGCAACCTGAGATCATTCTCCAAAATTCAGCATCCTCCAGGGCCCATGAGGGTCCACAGATGTGACTGGCAAAAGTCAGGGATAAGGCACTGAATGAATAATTGTTGAACATAACAAAAGGTGGAGGAGGTTTCTTAAAGGGAGAGTTGCCAACTTCTGTGGAAAGAATTCAAAAGTAAACCTGAGAAGAGAAGAGAACCTAACTTGGCGAGCACAGAGGAGTGGGAGTGGGAAGATAAGGAATTTCTCTTGCATTTCAGTAACAGCTTATTATTAATAAAAGGCAGCCATAAAGGGGAGAAGTTACCACAAAAATCAGAGAGTGACTATGAGGCCATGTTACAAAGTTTATCTCTGGGGGCTCCAGAGTTAGAAAGACCCTGATTTTCAGGAGGGTAAAGACCAGAAAAGGCACAACCAGGAGATAATAGGGTATTCACACACACAGAAACAACATTGAAGATAAATCCATGCCAATAAACACGCTGGATATGCTGATATACCATGAATCCCTGCACCAGCTCTCAACTAGAATTGAGAAAAAACAAAACCAACCTAAGGACTCCCTGCAAAATTTTAGAACAAAAATTCTTTTGGACTCTTATCCTAATGGATCCTCTCTCAATTCCTCCCCATGCAGCAATTCCCCGATTCAGGGGGGACAGTTCTATTTTCCCTTGGAACCCACAACCTCCCTATTCAGCCCAAGAAATTCTTGTTTAGCAGATACCTCCCCCCCCCAAAAAAAAAATTGGGCATGTGACCCAGGCCGGTGTGTCAGAACACAGTTCCCTCCTATACAGTGATTAGAGCAGAGACAGGCACAAACCCAACTCTGGGAGAAGCTTATTTTGCTGGTGTCATCCGAAAGAGGTGCTTTCTTCAACGAGTGTTGGAGAAGGATATAGAAAAAGGAAATCTTATTCATTAGTGATGGAATTAAGAATTGGAGCAACTTTCTATGAAATTTTGGAACTTTCTATGAAAATTCCTTTAGAAGCTAAAAATAGGTCAGAGAGGTTGTCCAAAGGGTTTGGCCTTCAAGTCCCCATAAATAAACAAAAAGTTTTTAATTATTATTTTTTATTTTTTAATTTAATTAATTATATTTGTTTTGGGGTCACCCACCCAGCAATGCTCAGAAGTTACTACTGGCTCTGCACTCAGGAACTACTTCTAGTGGTGCTCAAGGGACCATGTGGGAAATGAACTGAGGTGGACTGCATGCAAGACAAATGCCCTGCCTGCTGTACTATCACTCCAGTCCCTAATTATTTTTCTTTTTAAAGAAAAAAAGTGGTCTCAGCATGGTGGTGGCTGGTCCTGGAGGTCTTCGGCTGCCGGAGCCCCGGTCGGGGCGGGGAGGAAAGCTCAACCCGCTCCCCTCCAAGGGGTCCCGGCGAGGGACACCCAGGCGCGGGGGCAAAAGACTGCACTGTTCTGGTCTGGGATCTGGATTTTATAGTCTCTGAGTCTTGGCCACTGATGGGATTACAAGGCGCCAGGGGACCAGGTGGTGGGTGTGACCCCCGCCTGCTGGAATTTGGAGGATCTGGATGGAAGATGCTCGACTCCAATCCGAGTAGGCTTGGAGGTCTCGGCCCCAGAACCCGCGTGGCTTTGTCCCTCTGCCAGTACCTTCATGTGTGCGGAGAGTGGTCTCAGCATGGTGGTGGCTGGTCCTGGAGGTCTAGAAATCCTGGAGACTAAAAATCCAGATCCCGGACGAGAACAGTGCAGTCTTTTGCCCCCGCGCCTGGGTGTCCCTCGCCGGGACCCCTTGGAGGGGAGCGGGTTGAGCTTTCCTCCCCGCCCCGACCAGGGCTCCGGCAGCCGAAGACCTCCAGGACCAGCCACTACCATGCTGAGACCACTCTCTGCACACATGAAGGTACTGGCAGAGGGACAAAGCCACGCGGGTTCTGGGGCCGAGACCTCCAAGCCTACTCAGATTGGAGTCGAGCATCTTCCATCCAGATCCTCCAAATTCCAGCAGGCGGGGGTCACACCCACCACCTGGCCCCCTGGCGCCATGTAATCCCATTCGCGGACGCGCGACATCTCATCAGAATTTTTTATTATGACATCTTATTATCTCATTCCTACTTTGGACAAACTTGCAGGCTATCGAATGTAGCCTGCCCACACGGCAGAGTCTGGCAAACTCCCCGTGGCCTACCAAATATGCCAAATACCAGTAACAATGATGGGTCTCATTCTCCTAAAGAGCCGTGAATATAATCTCAGGGCTAGGATGAAAGAGACGTTACTGGGGCCTGCTCGAGGCAATCGACGATTAACAGGATGATGAAATGAAAAATGAAAAAAGAAAAAAAAGGTTACCCCTTTTCTCCCCATGTAGCCTCAGTCCAGAACTAAGGACATTAAACTGTGAAACTGTTTAGCACATCTACAAAACAATGAACTCATAAAGGTGAAGTAGTGTGTGTGTTTAGCTCAAAAATATTTGGGGGCTAAACATCAAAGTTAGAATTTGAATCATTAGAGGAAGGGAGGATTTATAGGTGAATGGGTCTTGTTTGTTTGTTTGTTTGTTTGTTTTGGTGGTAAGAGGTTCCCAGCTTCCAGCTAACATGAGCCAAGAAGGGAATTCATTGGCTCCCAGATCTGCTTGTCCTGGACACAGAGGATGTAATCTGGAGACTATGTCTTCACCTCCCAATAGTTTCTCTCTGCCTCAGGTGTATTCCCAGGCATGTTCTGAACAGGTGTTGATTCATCAATTTTATATTGTTTTATTGCACACAAAGGTGAAATCACACATACTTGTCTTTTTTCTTTTGAGTAATTTTGTTTTGAATAATTCCCTCAAGTACCTTCCATTTTGTTATAAATTATCATGTATATACATATATGTGGTATATATACTTATATTATACATATATAAGATATATTACTCTACTATAGAAATGTATTATGTCCTTTTTATCCAATTTTCTATTGATGGGCACTGTAGTTACTCATATTTTAGCTATTGAAAATAACCACGCAATAAGTATTGAGGTGTTAATTTTTTGTATTCTTTAAATAGATGCTCAAGTGGGGGAATGCTAAGCTATATGGTATTTCTTTTGTTTCTCCTTTAGTTTCTCCTTTCTTCCTTTAGGTTTTGCGGCCATATGTAGTGGTGCTCAAAGTGTCCTCCTAGCAGTGCTCAAGCGGACCATGACTGACTCTGAATCTCTGTCATACAAAGCATTTACAAAGCCTTGGTGGCCAAAAGCTACTCCTAGTACTCAGGGGTCACTTTTGCCTTTGGTGAGAATCCAATGCATGAAAGTCAAGTGCCTTAACCTCTATACTTTCTCTGCGTCCCTAACTTGTCCTGTCTTTTGGATGTCATCACACCACCAACTATAATGCTCAACCCAGTGTTTGCACTTGATTTCCCATATACTCATGTGTGTATTCACAGAAAATCAACAGTGGAGCCAGAAACCTTAAGGTGTATCCTGAAACTTTCACTCTCTTCCAGTAGACTCAGGAAAGAATATCAACCCAAGATCATCTCTGCACTGGAAAAGGGATGGGTGCTGGAACTTTGTATGACTGAAAACATACAAAGTTTACATGAACAACTTTGTAACTGTGTACCTCACAATGATTCAATTTTTTAAAAAAAATTCTGGATCATCTCCTTATGAAAGAGAGAGAGGACACCTTTTCTCTTCAGACTTCGCAGGGTTGACCTGAGGACAGAGTCAGGTCCTCTGTGCTGCACCTTGGCAAATATACAGAGCCACATAGTTAAACAAGAACACGATCCCAGCCACCAGCTTCTTGGACTCCCCTTTCCAGATTAGCATCTTAGATTGTTTATGTTGTGTTTCATGCTTCAGTGGCTGGCTGGAACTGGTTTTCCCAAATCCTCTCTTTATCAAGAGCTGATAACCACAAGGCTGTCTGGGCTGTGGATTCACAGCTGTGTTATTTTTCTTGAGACCACGAGACAGACCTTTCCATTGCTTAGGCTAGGTTTCCCATGCTGCAGTATGTGTGGTGATACCACCTTCTTACTTGGTTCTTGGACCCCCCTTGCAATTCTCTGAGCATTTGTTTACACTTCTCCCCAGGTTTCAAACCTGCCTCTGTCCCTCCCCCCACCACCCTGTTTCAGCTCTCTGCATGCTTCCTCCCCATCTTCATCGAGGTCTCTGCTCAGATGACATATGAGGTCTTGGTTTTTTTAACCCCTCCCCTCAA